CCACTTTCTGTTCCCAGCATCACAAAACAACCAGTGGCCAAGCCCCGCCCGCCCGTTTGCCTTGGCGGCCCCTCTGCCTGGCTTTGTACAGTTCCTCCACACCATTCTGCTCTACAGCGCTACTAGACTAAGTTCCCTGGGGTTACCATGATCTCTACTGTCCCAGGGCCTTTGCACAAGGCAGGCAGACACTTTCCCTCTCTCTCTCTCTCTCCTCTGGATGTGTACAGAAATTCCGCAAACACTTACGGAATGAATGGCGAATAGGGTATCGTCTATGGTCTTCTTGGCCAGTGCAGATCTAAACCAGGTGTGGTCTCCTAAAGGAAACAGAGGTAGCCACCAGCTCCCGGCCCTAGGCCCGACACCCTCAATTTGTGGTGCAACTCTTGCAACAGGTAATAACCACCCGGCACCTTCACAGCTGACTGATTACTTCAGATTCGACAGGCAAACAAGCGGAAGTGCCTTCGAAAATGGCTGCCCCTAAACACGTGGTTGCTGAGAGTCAGCATTTGACCTCACTTTCTCACTGCCCCCTGAATGCCGCTTCCTCTAAAACGTGGCACCAGCTCTGGATTGCCGTGGACTTACACCTGTCCTGCTATCTTCGTCCTGTGTCCTTGATGGCCATACCCAGTGCAGGGACGTGGACACCTGGACCTTGACAGCACAGGTTTGCTGGTAGTCTCTGTGGAAATGCCAGAGGCTTCATTGTCTCCTGAAAAAAGAAGAAAAAGAAACCAAAACATGGAGATCTGGCTCATGCCTGAGATCCTAGCACTCTGGAGATGAAGGCAGGGGGAATCCTCCTTAGGTTACCTAGGGAATTCTAGGCCAACTTGGGCTACATAAGATCGCGTCTTTCCAGAAAAAGTGCTCACGGAGCTGTGAACTCCTGAACTTTGGAGTGAACGTTCTAAGGTTCTGGGGCTAGGTGTCGGTCCCAACATCTCAAAGGCTGGGCTCAGGGACAAGCCTGAAGGGAAAGAGGAATCCTCTGACTGCAGACACACAGGCAGGGTGCTGGGTTTGTAACTGGAAAAGATTTGCTCAGAGTAGTCTTGTGTGAACATACATGAAGCCCAGATGATGAGTCCTATCCTACTGAGATTCGAAGACTCCTCCCCTACTGGGACCAAGATGGCACTGTGCAGGGCAGGCAGCTGGGTCTCTGGGTTTAGAGGAGTGGGGTGAGGCTAGTTTACTGTATTTGCATCCCCAAAGCCCTGGGAAGTCTTGCAAAATCTCAGCTGTCTAGGAGACTGGGGTAGGAGCAAAGAGGCCCCTTCTTCACTTTGTTTTTAAAGCTTACATTGTTTGTGAGTTTGTTCATTTGTTTGTTTGCTTTTAGATTTCTTCATTTTATTTTATGCGTATGAGAGTTGACTTGCACGTGTCCAGTAGTCTGGGGGAGGCCAGAAGAGGGCTTTGGATCCCCTGGAAACAGAATTACAGACCCTTGTGAAGCACCATGTGGGTGCTGGGAACCTAACCTGGGTCCTCTATAAGAGCAGCAAGCGCTCTTAGTCACTACAGGCCCTAGATGATGTTTTTGTTTGTTTGTTTGTTTGTTTTGTTTTTGAGACATTGTCTTACCATTTAGCCTGGGCAGGCCTAGGATTCATTATGTAGCTCAGGCTAGTTTTTGTTTGTTTTTCAAGACAGGGTTTCTCTGTATTGTTTTGGAGTCTGTCCTGGAACTCACTCTGTAGACGAGGCTGGCCTTGAACTCACAGAGATCCACCTGCCTCTGCCTCCCGAGTGCTGGGAATAAAGGTGTGCGCCACCACCGCCAGGCGGAAGGTATAAGCATTTGATCCCAGTGAGTTACATGCCATTCCAGACTGCATGAGACCCTGCCTTTTTTTTTTTTTAGCTTGATTACAAGTTAAACCATCATGCCTAGCTTAATGTCAATATTAGTTCAGAAAACATATATACTACCATATCTTAACACCAAAGATAATTTAGAATTTCATCTTACTGATTTTAATAAGTTAGCATCGGCTTAAGAGGTTTGCGACAAGTTATTTCCATGATGACTTTATTGTCTCTCCAGTTTCATTCATGGCATAATTTGACTAATAGTGCCTTATCCAGTGACCAGTGCCAAGCAGAGTGACAGACGGGAGAGCAGAGAAATGAGGGAAGGGAGAGGGATGGCCGCAGATGGTCCACAGCCATCCTGTACCTGTGGGCAGGAGCGCTGGGGGTTCACTGTGGGGAGGAAGTCATGAGCCACGAGGCCACGTGGGGTCCTGGCCCCCTTCTTTTACCTCATTTTCCAGGCTAGATCCCTTCCCATCCTCCCCATGGTACTCAACATTCCAAAGAGCAAGGGGTAAGAGAAGACAACCACTGCAGAAGACCAGAACGGCGACGGTATTGCCGAACGCCAATTTACGACTCGAATCTCCTGACCAAATTTGACCCTTTGATGTAGGTAGCTTGCCTCTGTCACCTCCACACCTGCTCTCTTCGGGGACTTGCTGAAGGTAAACAAAAGGCCTGGTGGGATTGTCTTTCTACGGTGGTCTAGCCTGGACACCTCGGGTTTTTCTTTCTGTACCCACCACGCTGTTCAGAAAAGTACGGCATTCTCTGCAACGTATGTCCCAAGGCTGCCAGCAGGGACAGGTTGTGCAGTGAGTGTGATGGAAGGAAGCTCAACAGTGGGCAGAGTGACCACCAGGAACCGGAGCGTGGCTCTGCCTCCACTGCCACAAAGTCACCTGGCAGTTTGAATAACTCCCAGGAGGCAGCACGACCACATCTCCCCAGTGCTGTTTGTAAGGCTCTCTGCTATAAACTCTGTGTACTGCTCTCTCTCTCTCTCTCTCTCCCTCTCTCCCTCTCTCTCTCTCCCCCTCTCCCTCTCTCCCTCTCTCCCTCTCTCACCCCTCCCCCCCCAGAATACAACATCAAACAAAGGAAGATGTCCAAATAGCTGATTAGTATACTCTCAACCCATCAGCATCTTTTTGGCAATGAAGGTTTCTTGCCTGCTGATCCAGGAAGAGCAGCGGGCCAAGCCCAGAGGACAGGAAGGTGAGGCGGGCAGGAGGGAGAGCTGGGGGAAATTAGAACCACCTTGTTAGCAACCACAGAAGCAATTAGGAAGACAACGAGATAATGAGCAGTTTGGAGGTAGTTAATGTTCATAATTCAGAAACCCGAAGGTTAGGAATGTATCCTTAAAAAATGAGAAAAAAAGCCAGCTGTTGGTGGTGCACACCTTTAATCTCAGCACCCAGGAGGTGGATCTCTGTGAATTCGAGGCCAGCCTGGTCTACAAGAACTAGTTCCAGGACAGCCTCCAAAACTATACAGAGAGACCCTGATTGAAAATAAGGATAAGGGCTGGAGAGGTGGCTCAATGGTTAAGAGCACTGACTGTTCTTCCAGAGGACCTGAGTTCAATTCCCATCTACATGATGGCTGGCAACCACCTTGAATGAGATCCTGGTGCCCTCTGTTGGCCCGCAGACAGAAGATTGTATACATAATAAATAAATAAAATAAAGATAAATGTGCAGGGATATTATTATTGTTGTTTTTGTTGTTGTTGTTTTGTTTTTCGAGACAGGGTTTCTCTGTGGCTTTGGAGGCTGCCCTGGAACTAGCTCTTATAGGCCAGGCTGGTCTCGAACTGCTCAGGGATATTTTAAAATTTTGATTATAACAGAAAATCCTGGGCCTGAACTGATTATTAAGTTAAGGAACACATCTGGGCAAGAATGAATGTAGATTAAGGAGCCAATAACTTCATGATTTCCTCAGTCTTTCACCAAAACCCAGGTCGTCCTGACTACACCTCAGCCTGTGGCAAGCCTGACCTGAATAGCCTTTTTTGTTTGTTTGTTTTGTTTTTTCTTGAGACAGGGTTTCTCTGTGTAACAGCCCTAGCTATTCTGGAAATAGACTAGGCTGGCCTGGAATTCACAGAGATCTGCCTGCCTCTGCCTCCTGAGCGCTGGGATTAAAGGTTTGTACCACCACTGACTGACCTGGATCGCCTTTTCTAAGGGGATTTTGAACGACTAGAGATATTCTGAGTACTAGGGAGAATGGGAGGAGCTGTGTGCTTCCTGCGTCTACATGGGGTGCAGTCTTCTGTGGACCCCACAATGAGGATAGGTGCCTACCCACTCTGGGCACGGTCCAGCCCTTGAGTACCCTGACAATGACACACTGTACTGTGCATGGGGGCGAGCGTGAGTGGCGGCAGTCAACACGAAGGACTGTGCCATGATGAGGGGCGTGGCTGTGGTTTAGCTGCACTGATGCGGGGTATAGGATTGGAAAGACAGCCGTGAAAAGTTATGTATCTTTCTACTAAGGTCCTCTAAAGTAGGTCTTTCCCTCTTCTTCCAGAGATAGCACACACTCTGCAAGGTAAGTTTGGTTTGTGTCCGCGAGGAGCACCCAGTTTCAGTTCTAGCTATGCAGGCACGTGCTGTAGCCTTTATTGACGGCTTGCTACGTGTTAATTAACAAAACTCTCCCGGCTGAAGATTCCTGCTCTTCATTTCGTCTTACAGGAAACAGCGCTGCGGAGGAAGCAAGCCATTTGCCCTAGGTCCCAGGAGTCAACGCAGAGCCAGGATTTCTCTAGAGGCCTTATTATGCTGACATTAATACTGACATTTTCCTGCGTCTTTGGTTAGGATGCAAGAAGGGACTTGACGTTTGAAAAGCAAGTACTCATTAAATTATTAATTTTAAAATTACTATTATTATATTCTTTGGGTCGCCCCAAGTGTCTGTACGGAGCAGTCATCATTTGGACAAATCCTTTGGATTAAAAAAAATAAAATCCCTCAGTTGAGGAGGAGGCTGGCTGAAATTTGCTGAAGCCTGAGTCTCAGCGGCTGCGGGGCGGGGCCAAGACAGAAGGGGCGGGCCAGAGGGGGGCAGGACCGGGTCGAAGAACTGAGATCGAGGGCGGGACCTGGAGGAGGGGGGCGGGGCGAAGCTCGGCGGCGCATGCTCGCTGTGGACAGTCCCCCGCTGCCGGGGCTGCCACCGCCCACCACTCGGGACTACGAGCGAGCTGCAGGCGGCCGCCGAGCGGGAGAAGGGCCCGGCTGGGCGAGCGTACGGCCATGGCCCCGTGGCTGCAGCTCTGCTCCTTCTTCTTCACTGTCAACGCCTGCCTCAACGGCTCGCAGCTGGCAGTGGCTGCGGGCGGCCCGGGCCGCGCGAGGGGCGCCGACACCTGTGGCTGGAGGGTAAGGCGAGGGCGTCCTCGGGCTCCAGGTCACCTGGGGGGGGGGGGGGGGTGCGCGCGGCGCGCACAGGTGCTCGCTCGAGGACGGGCGAGCGAGTCGGGGTCGCCGGGTCTCCAGACGCCGGATCTGCGGTCGGCGGGGGTCCCCGGCTCCTCCAGCCCGTCCCCGCGGCGTCGTGGTCCCCGGGCGCGCGTCCGCCGGCCCCGCTCGGGATGAAAGGGGACGCCGACCCCTGGCTTTGTGTTGCTAATGAGGCGCGGCCGCTGGCTGGGGTCCGACTCCCGAGGGCGGGTGGCTGGGCGGCGGGGCGGGGGCCGTGCGCCCCACCCTTTGTTCCCGGCTCTCCGGCCGGGGGCTACGCGTCCGGGACTGGCACCTTCCGGGCCGTCGCGGCACCGGTGCTCTTCGGAGCCGATGGTTCGTGCCCCGGACCTCCAGTCCACAGCTCCGCAAGGGCTTGGGACATCCAGGGAAGGGAACCTGGAGCGCTCGGGGACGATGCATCCACTTTCCCTCCGTCGCTTTGTTCCTTCTAAAGCAGCTCGGTCACCCGACTCCTTCCTTACCCCACTGCCGAGTCTTAACTTTTCCCAAGGGACCTTGCCTGCAGGTCTCCTGATGCCACCCCTGCCCGTCAGCGCGCCTCAGCCTGAGTTGAGGATGTTTTCCTGGCGGAAGTTTGCCTGCTCCGCCAGGTGCCCCAGACCTGAAACTGGTGGCGCCCAGACTTTCTCTGTGCACTTGGAAGCCCTCTCCCCAGAGCGGGCTTTTATCCTTTTCCTGTGGTCTGGGTAGTGCGGTCCCCTGGCCTGCGGACCTCGAGCCTTCCACAGAGACTAGGGCGCTGAACGTCAAGGCCACTCACACCTTCAACCCTACTGTAAGAACGCAGTTTACACTCGGGCGGCCCGGAGCGTGTCTGCAGCGCGCGGTCTCAGTTTCCTTACCTAGAAAATGGAAGGGGGATGCGGGCGTTGCTGACTTCCGCGGGGCTCAGGGATATGTTGGGACAGTTCGCTTAGACGAAGGTTGTGTTACCTTTCCCCGTGGACTCTAATAAACAGCCTCAGTACAGACAGGACCCAGAGTAGGACACCTCTTAGGGACACTTGGCTCACTTGCTTCTCAGTTAGGGAGAATCACAGTTCATTAAACGAGGTAAGAGCAGGCAGCTACGGGTCACCGATTCCCACTCCTCTTACTGGACGCTGCTGCTACTCTTTCCTGTTTGGGTAAAGCCTCGCGGTTTCTTACCGTGTTCCACTGCAGTAAAACCTCACCGTTCGTTTTAACAGATCCCGAATTTCCTTAAGTCCGAACCTTTCAGATCTCATGTTGACTTACTGATTTTCTTGTAAGATTTTTAGATCTAGACTGGCAGTTGCTGCTTTTCTACAGTGGCCGAGAATGCATGAAGTTTGTAAAGTTGTTTTTTTTCTTTCGAGACAGGGTTTCTCTGTATTGTTTTGGAGGCTGTCCCTGGAACTCCATCTGTAGACCAGGCTGGCCTGGAACTCACGGAGATCCGCCTGCCTCTGCCTCCCGAGTGCTGGGATTAAAGGCATGCGCCACCGACACCCGGCTAAAGCTTGTAAAATTTTAACATTGGGTGTATTAGTTGTCTCTGAAGAAGCCAAAGCAATGTTTTTGTTCTTTAGGAATGTATCGCTTGATTACTGCCCCCCACCCCTCTACCCCACCCCGCAGATGTGGTCCCATCACTATAACCCACATTCCTGGCCTCCTGGGAGTGATCTCAACAGCTCCTGCCTTGGTGACTACTACAGCCCTTTCTTTCCTTGGGTGAGCATGGAAGCTTCTGGGCCATACCCCAGATTCCAGGCTCTTTCCCACGGCTCCTTTCCTTCTGTAACTGCCTGCTTGGTGCATGTGAAAGGAGACCCAGCTTACCCACCCTCCTCGAACGCTCGAGCTGCAGTGTGTTCTGCCCCTCCTTCCCTGCTGTCTGGCTTCTAATTCCTTGCACACGGCCAGCTGTGCTCTCCATGTTGGCTGTTTTCTGCCCCGAGAGCTCCCCTGCTTGGTTTAACAGTCTGCTCATGTGCCGCCTCTTCAAGGAAGCCCTCCCAGGATGCTATGCCCCGTGCTTTCTCATCCAGGTCCCCTAGTCTTCGGCGCTCACCGGCTTTGTGTGTTTAGTTTCCTTGGTGGTGTCGAAGCTTGGAGCCCTATCATCTTGGCTGAGGCCATGCAGACCATGCAGTCTTTCTGCAAAATCCCATATTAAATGGTTTGAAGAGTCAGAAGAGCTGAGCCTAGGGCTGTAATCCCAGCTACTCAGGTGACTGACACAGCATGATCGAAAGTTTTGGGCCTGCCTAGGCTTTTCAGGGTTAGCCTAGGCAACTTAGAGAGACCCTGTCTCAAGGAAGGAAGGAAGGAAGGAGTCAGGAGGGAGGGGAAGGAGAGAGAGAGAGAGAGAGAGAGAGAGAGAGAGAGAGAGAGAGAGAGAGAGAGAGAGAGAGAGAGAGAGAGAGGTGATAGAGGTGATAGAGGTTCAGCAGCAGGAGAACATGTGTGGTAGCCTGAGGTCTGGGTTCTTCTCCAGTGGGAGGCAGGCAAGGAGATCTTAACACCAGGCTTCCATCTGCTGTGTTGTGTGTGCAGGAGGCCTTTGCACAGCATTCCTGGCTGCAGCCACTTTTAAAACTTGGGGAAAATTTTTTACCTTTTTAGTGACTTCTGAGCTCTATCATGGTTTCCTGTAGGAAACCTCCCTGTTCCCACCTTACTAATTAGGATGTCCTAGAGGTTGCTTTGTCATGGGGTTCTAGTAGGTACTAATATTCAGAATCTTGGGGTACTTGAGTCATACCCACCTCTTACAGGTCATCCATGTTTGCCTCAACTCTGAGGTCACTTGTGGTCTAGTTGGGTCTGTGTAAATGTATGAATCAAAGGCTGAGGCAGGAAGAGTGTATGTGTGTCCATCTGTCTGTCCGTCCGTCCATCTGACAAAGAAAGGAAGCAAAGCAAAGGCTGGGAGGGGTTTGAGAACTGCAGCTTGCCTGGCATCCCCGGGGTGGGGAAGGATGAGGAATAAAGATGGGTGGGCTGGTGCTACCAAGCCTTCTCGAACCCAGAAGAAGGTTCAGCACCAGCTTGGCCTACATACTGAGCTCTAAGCCAGCCACGAATATGTAGTGGGACCCTACCTCAAACAAAAATAAGGATAGATAATACGTGCTTCCAACAGATGTCTGTATCCTGAGTTCTGAGTTTCACTTAGAACCTTGAACCTTGGAGCCTGAAGGTGGGGCAAGGGTCTGAAACGCTGGAGAATTGAGTGAACGCCCTGCTTAATACTCTCCATAGGGCATTTGGGCCAGAGACCCAGCAGCTGTAGGACTGGATGTTTCCCCGGGGTTTACAGGGGTTGCAGCCAGGGGAGCTTCTCTCAGGGCCATGGGCTGGCCTGGTTTAAGTGCTCAGGTCTCACAACTCCCTATTGCTTGTGGGGTAATTAAAGGACTGATTCCATCTCAAATGCAGCCCAGTGTTTTAGAAAAGAGTTGTGGGCACACTTCCTTAACTACTTGAAGAAAAAAACCCTCCTAGTCTTTGCTGGGTAAAGTTGTGCTTTGAGTAATAAACACTGTTTCTGTCAAAAGAGTAACAGTTTGTATAGCTTCCAGGCTGCAGGCTCCTGTGTTGACACCAGCTTGAAACCCCTACTACTTAGGAGGCTTTTTCTTTTGTTGTTTGAGACAGGATTTCTTTAGGTAACAGTCCTGGCTGTCCTGTAACTCACAGAGACCCGTCTGCCTCTGCCTCCCGAGTATTGGGATTAAAGGTGTGCCCACCACCATTACTGCCTGGTGGCGCTTCATTCTTTCAACGTGCATGTTTTATTTAGTTGATTTACCAGATTAGGTTGTGCAGGTGTGTACTCTGCAGAGGCCAGAGGGTGTCAGGAGATCTGTTACTTTGTTTTATCCCCTCGTCTCAAGTCTCTTACTAATACCGGAGCTAGGCTGTGGGCCAGCAAGCCTCAGTGATTCTCTTTGTCTTCTGCTCTTAGCACTCATGGTGTTACAGGCATAGCCACATAAGCATGGGTGGCGAGGAGGATTCGAACTCAGGTCCTCCTGCTTGCCCAGCAATTGCTTGTGCCCACTGAATCATTTCCCTAGCCTCAGCTCTTTTTGATGACGGAATGGTTCTGTTTGTGATGGAAACCTTTAATGTGTCAACCGCTCCCTCTGTGCTGAGAGATTCTAAAACCTCCCCCTGTCTTGCTAAAAGCAGGAATTCCCAGAGTTAAGACTTGGTGGGCCATACGCATCAATACTTTAGAGGCGGAGCAGGAGGATGGAGAGTTAGTTCATCTTGGAGGCTCTGTTGTCAGTTTTGGGCTAGCATGAGTTATTACGTAATGAGACCCTAACTTAAAAAGCAAGCAAGCTCACAAACAAACAAATGAACCAAAAGTCTAGAAATCCATTCTCACAAATTTCTGCTTAGTAGCTTTTCCTTTGGGCCACTTCTGGTCTCCTACACTGGATGGCATACATATTCCCTGGTTGTCTCTGAACTACTATTTCTGAACCCCTCCCCCCAAAAAGACTGTCTTTAGCAATTCGGAAACCGTGCTGCCATCATACAAAGAAGTACAAGTTTCCCATTTAAGGCAAATATTTCATCTCCAAAGGTAGGAAAGAATAGGGTAGTATGGGGGGGGGGGTTCCAGCTGGTTAAAATTTAGGCCCCTGATAAAAAGTCCAATCCAAGCATTCTTCCTGGCTGGGAGCCCAGGCATGTTTATTTGATTCTGAATTGGATGCATTTCATTCACTTGCATCTCATGACTCCTAAGCCCTGTTGTATCTGGTCTTTGTGTTCTGTCAACGTGTGGACCACATCACAGATGCTCTGGTGTCACACAGACTTCTTAGGTAAAAATTATTTTAGTTTTGAGTTGACACTTTTTTAAAGAGCTGTTTTAGTGAGACCTACAATGCTTTCTTCCATCCTATTTT